CTGGTTTTAGCTTTTGGGTTGGTTTCAGACTCTTATTGTGCTTTCAGACCCTCTCTGGTTGTATTCTTTTCCTCCTTCCTTCCCAGTTGCCTGCCCAACCTGCATCTTGCCACTGGCACGCAGACTGCTTGGAAATCATCCCAAGCGGCAAAAGGCCCTGGCTCAGGCTACAAAATAACTTAAAATAAAAATCAGTAGCTAATCACCCTCCCCCACTGAGGGTACATGGCCTGATGCCAAACTTCAGCTCTCATTTATGGCTAATATTCCAGTATTACCAGCTAAAGCAGGTTTAAAACTAGGATAAATAGGGGACCAGCCACTGTGACTATTGGCATGTGAGGAGATGGTAGTCACTGGAATACGTGGGGTTTCACAAAGCACCTGCTGGTTTCCTAAGTCCCACTTTGGGCTCAGCCTGTCAATGAAAGGCCTGATTGCCAGTCAGGCTCTGTGCTCTGTGCTCCGAGCCCCAGCAATGCTGGTGGGCTTTCGCTGTCCTGCCACAGGAGATGAGGCACAACACTGAGACATGGGACAGTGCATGAGGAGCCAAGGCACCCAAAAACTAGTCAGGCTTCACCAGCGTGTCTCCCCAGGCAGTGCCTGCCTTGCACGACTCCCCAGGGCTGGGCAGCCCCAGGTTGTGTACATCTGTCACCAGCTCCAGGTCAAACTGCTCTGGACCCGAGCATGTACTGAGTCCCCACAGTGCCCCCATAAGTGTGGAGTCTCAGGCTGAGCAACTGCCTCTGCAGCCTGGGGAAGATGAGTGCGTCCCATGAGAGCTGCAGCACTAGAAGGGACAGTCTAAGCACCCAGGTAAGCTGTGCTGCCATGGCTCTGTTGGTCCAGAGGGGCCCTGCAGCACTCYGGGCACGCAGTCCTTTGGGAAGCTRCCAGGCCAGGWGAGCCCCTGCTCTGGGGAGATTCCTCTCACCCTAGAGCTGGTCCTGACCAGTTCAGAGCACACACTAGCTGGCCCAGGGTGGGTGGTTGGACCCTACAGATGTGATGATCCTGGCAGGGGTTATCTGTGCACCCTGGTGCACCCTGTATCCCTCAGGAYTGAGGGGTATCTGCCTGCCCAYTGCCACTGGCAGCTCCAGGCTCTTYAYAGGCCAGCTGGGACTGGGGACAAGRTTCTGCCCAGGGCRGGCAGGCACATTGGCTCACAGGCAGAAGCTGAYAGCAGGCAAAAAGGTGACCCCCTCTGCCCCTCCTATCTGCACAGGGCTCTCCCTGCCTGTCCCTGCCCTGCAGAATGAAGTCAAGGAGGGTAAGTTGCTCCTACTCAACCCAGGAAGGAGGAGGAGGGGCTGCCACCAGGTGTGCACCTGCATTCATTTCTGCTGTGCCAGGCGGCAGTCTGGGCCCAGCCCAGCCCTTCTGCCAGCTGGTGTACAGCCAAACCTGGGCAGGGAGCTGGGGGTGCCCCTCATCCCTGGTTCTGTTAAAGCCAGCTGGATATGGAGCAGCCCCCAGCCCAGGAGGGCCAGAATAGCTGGGAGAAAAGGGGTGCCCCCCACCTCCCCAGGAAACCCCCTGAGCCACAACCCCCAGGCAGTGGGGTGCAAAAGGGGTACAAACCTGGACTGGGGCCAGCCAGGAAGGGAGTGACAGGGTGCCCCAGCTGGGGCCACGGGTACAGGCACCAGGGAGGGAGGAAGGTCTATTAACAATTAACTCTATTAACCAAGGAGTGGCCGCAGGGGATGCTGCTGAAGGGAGGGGGAGCTGCCTCCTGTCCTCGGGTGCTGCCAACCGTAGCAGCCCTTCCCTGGGAGGGCAGAACCACCAGCAGCAGGACTGGCGTGCAGAGTTTTGCCCACACAGGTGAGGGCTGGGGCTGTCCCAGGGACTGTCCCCTCACCCCCATCCCTGCCAGACCTGCCCTTTTGGGGCTGTTCAGGACTCTGCTTCCCCAGCTTGCAGCTCCCTTTTCCTGCCCCTCATGTCCTAGCCCAGGTGGCACCATCAAAGATCTGCCAACAGCCAGGTTTAACCCCCTCCTTTCCAAAGAACAGGCCAGTTACTCCAGGAGGAGGGAAGTCCTGGTGAGGCACTGAAGACCCCACACCCCAAGGATGCAGTGCCCACAAACCGAGTGGAGCAGCTCAGCACCCCAAACCTGCAGTTATGAGGATGTCAGCCCACAAGAAGGGGCTGGGGTAGGAGTGAGGAGTGGGGTCAGTACTGAGCTTGCAAGGCCTCGACAGGCTTCAAGAAGTTTTTCTCAGTCTCCCCGGAGCTTTAGATTTCCTTAGTTTGTCACAGTATCGAATTACCAAGGGGCTGCTAACCACTCGGATTTAGGTGCTTCTATTTGATGTCTGTTGTTAGTGATTCAAGGGTGGGAATGAACAACACCAAAGAAGCCAGAATAATCCCTGGGATAAAGGTGCAGGGTAGAGCAGTCCGGGCCTGGATGGGTTGGCATGGGGTGATGATAGCTGAGGNGGCAGGCACATTGGCTCACAGGCAGAAGCTGACAGCAGGCAAAAAGGTGACCCCCTCTGCCCCTCCTATCTGCACAGGGCTCTCCCTGCCTGTCCCTGCCCTGCAGAATGAAGTCAAGGAGGGTAAGTTGCTCCTACTCAACCCAGGAAGGAGGAGGAGGGGCTGCCACCAGGTGTGCACCTGCATTCATTTCTGCTGTGCCAGGCGGCAGTCTGGGCCCAGCCCAGCCCTTCTGCCAGCTGGTGTACAGCCAAACCTGGGCAGGGAGCTGGGGGTGCCCCTCATCCCTGGTTCTGTTAAAGCCAGCTGGATATGGAGCAGCCCCCAGCCCAGGAGGGCCAGAATAGCTGGGAGAAAAGGGGTGCCCCCCACCTCCCCAGGAAACCCCCTGAGCCACAACCCCCAGGCAGTGGGGTGCAAAAGGGGTACAAACCTGGACTGGGGCCAGCCAGGAAGGGAGTGACAGGGTGCCCCAGCTGGGGCCACGGGTACAGGCACCAGGGAGGGAGGAAGGTCTATTAACAATTAACTCTATTAACCAAGGAGTGGCCGCAGGGGATGCTGCTGAAGGGAGGGGGAGCTGCCTCCTGTCCTCGGGTGCTGCCAACCGTAGCAGCCCTTCCCTGGGAGGGCAGAACCACCAGCAGCAGGACTGGCGTGCAGAGTTTTGCCCACACAGGTGAGGGCTGGGGCTGTCCCAGGGACTGTCCCCTCACCCCCATCCCTGCCAGACCTGCCCTTTTGGGGCTGTTCAGGACTCTGCTTCCCCAGCTTGCAGCTCCCTTTTCCTGCCCCTCATGTCCTAGCCCAGGTGGCACCATCAAAGATCTGCCAACAGCCAGGTTTAACCCCCTCCTTTCCAAAGAACAGGCCAGTTACTCCAGGAGGAGGGAAGTCCTGGTGAGGCACTGAAGACCCCACACCCCAAGGATGCAGTGCCCACAAACCGAGTGGAGCAGCTCAGCACCCCAAACCTGCAGTTATGAGGATGTCAGCCCACAAGAAGGGGCTGGGGTAGGAGTGAGGAGTGGGGTCAGTACTGAGCTTGCAAGGCCTCGACAGGCTTCAAGAAGTTTTTCTCAGTCTCCCCGGAGCTTTAGATTTCCTTAGTTTGTCACAGTATCGAATTACCAAGGGGCTGCTAACCACTCGGATTTAGGTGCTTCTATTTGATGTCTGTTGTTAGTGATTCAAGGGTGGGAATGAACAACACCAAAGAAGCCAGAATAATCCCTAGGGTAAAGGTGCAGGGTAGAGCAGTCCGGGCCTGGATGGGTTGGCATGGGGTGATGATAGCTGAGGCCCAACCACCAACTCACCCTCACACAGCTCCTTTTGGTGACACAMGGCTGGCAAAACCCAGTGCCAGGGGTAACGGAGCAAAGGACAAGCATCCAACATGGATACATCACTTGCAGGCAGGTGAAATGTGRAGCCACAGAGCAAGGAAGTGAGGGTTAGGATGTGCTAGAACGTGTAAAAATGGCCCCAGTGGTTTTGAGATTGAGGAGGAAGAAATCCCTACTGTGAACATCACACTCCTCCCAGCAAAGGCATCAGGATGCTCATGGGAGGACGCTGAAACTGCCACCTCACCTCCCCTTCTCCAGGGCATGGTGAGGGGTGTGGGCCAGGAGGGGCTGTGGACAGCTGCTRCTGCAGTCTCTTACTGAGGGACTGGACACCTCCTCAAAGGAGCAAAAGCCTGCAGGACCTGGGAGTGGAAGCTGCTCCCTGCTGTACCCCCTGCCAATGGCTGCCTTGCCCCAGCAGCAGGAAGGTGGGCTCCTACTCCTACAGAACAACCCTCTATGTGTGTCAGTATCCCCAAGGATGCATCCTGTTCCCCAAGGAGTAACACAGCCAAGGCCACAGGGAATACTGAGCCTTACCCTCTGCTGATCTTCCTACCCTGTACAGTTCACAGCCCCTGACATCTACACAGGCTGTGCTCACCTGGCTAAAGGAAAGCAGCATGAAATCCTCTTGCTTCTGGCACCTCTCCATCAGGGAAACAACTGGGGAACGACAAGAATGCAATGACACTGCTGACACAAGGAGAAATAGAGGCAGAACTGYRGTGTGCTGGGAGCTGGCAGGCAGTCTGCATTTGGACTAGCTGCAGGCACTTTCTGCCTAAGCTCCTGAAGTCCTTCCCAGAGCAGAGAAGCAGTCAGGCCTGACTCGGGCAAAGGTGACACTGGACAGTTTTAGGCACCTGGCCAGGCAGCAGGCGAGTGCAGGGCACAGGGGGTCACCAGTGCACAGCTAYCCCTGAGTCAGGCAGCCCAGAACAGGACATCCAGCAGCAGCAGGGAAGGCCATGGTGGTCCAGAGAGGCCACCCTGCCCTGCTGACTGCAGGCTGCATGCCCACCCTTCCCAGCAAGGGAAACGGAACCTCCCTCCCCACCCTTTTCTTCACTGGCTGAAGTCAGGATRTGAAACGCCTGCCTGTGCCCCACCCCGGTTTTCCAGCAAGTGCAAGGAATTTACACCACCCAGGCCCACCAAAATAAAGATGTGTCGTTTTGTCACACATTTATGGCTGGATGTTTTTAATCTTCATGATACATCATGGAGACCTGAGGAGGAAGAACCAGTAGCAGGAACTGCCCAAACCACCTGTTTGTGGAGGAGCTAGAGCACTCCCTAGTGCCTGCCCACTGCTTCCTATGGACATCTCTAGCTTTTCCAGCCTGGAAAGTAATGTTTCCTGCCAAATTGTGCCAAAAAAGCTACCTCTGATCTTTCAAGAGATGTGGTTTACAGAATAAAGATGAGCATGAAAAAGCATCAGCAAGTGCCAGAGCCACAACTCCAGACTTTCCCTCTGTGAGCAGTGAACACCGGGCTCCTGTTTCTCCCACGATGACATTTGAGTGCTGCAATCCCAGGCAAAGGGATAGTCTGGCAGCCAGCGAGGATCCTGGAAAGCTCACRCTCTGCCCCTGGGCTGGATTTACTCCAAGCATGCAGCAGCCTCTAGTATGAAGCTGAAGTGGCACAATGCTTTCAAGAGCAGCCAGAGAGCAATCCTGCACAACCAGCAGACACAGTGGTCCCTGCTGTGCCACTGCCTCAAGCTCCAATCAGGGTCACAGAACTCCGCAGTGGARAACACAGGGCATTCACTTTTAACATTCTTGTGGTGGGACAAAACACAACCCAGGCTCTGGGTTATGAGGCAACAAAGGTTTGGCTCCTGCACACCCCACTGACAGCAAACCCAGTGGTGCACAGTCTTTGGCACACTCAGGCCACTGACATGAAGCTTCTCTGCCTCCAGGTAGCAGCAGAATAGCACAGGTGAACCTTCACCCGAGGAGAGAGAAGCTTCTGAGAAACACAATCTTTAGTTCTTAAAACACTTCAGTATTTAAATAGGCTAATACACTTGTGCAAATGATGCTTGGATACACATAAAAGACAGAGAATTGCACTCGGTGCTCACAGGTGCACCATGGCCAAAAAGCATGAGAGGGAGCAATTGGTGTAAAATTCCTGGCAAGCCTAGACAGGACAGAGGACTTCAGACACCAAAGTGTTCTGCCTGCACCTCCAGGAAATGTCACACACTGACCAGGACATGAGCCACCATGGRCTCGGGTTTAATTTTTCATCTCTGAAGCCAAGACTTCCATATGCACCACCCTGAGCAGGATGATGCAGTTTGGACATCAACATTCTGAAAGCTCTGCAGAGATGCAGTACCAGCAGAAGTGACAGTACAGAGGTGGCAGGTCTGGGATCAGCAAAAACCAGAGCCACACCTGAACATGAGTAAGTGTAGTTCTGAACACACACAGCACAMACCACCTCCGACAACCTTTAATCTCTGCTGTGGCTCACAACAGGCACCTGGGRCACACCAAGGTCACACAGCTGTGCCAAAGGAGGAGACACATCCCAGTCCAGCATCCAGGAACCGTGTTCACTTGCCAGGCATTGTGTCTTCGGATGATATTGGCTGAAGGGGCACATCAGAGCCTGCAGAGTTCCTGCACCATCTCTGCAAGGTCATGCTGGYGGCACAGCACAGCCTAGCCTGTGGACCAGAGTGCACAGAGGGCATGCAGAGGTCACATCCTGTGCCAGTCAGGCGTGCTATGTGTCTGAAGGTCATGCTGGCAGAAGGATCAGTCACAGCCCATGGAGCCTGCTGGTCATACACCGTCCCTGAAGGTCAGACTGGCAGAGTGAAATGCCACAGCCTGAGYAGCACATACAGRGTGCCTGCCAACRGCGGGAGCAGGGCACACTCCCAGCYCCACCGCGGCCCCGCTGTCACTTGAGGCTGTAGAGGATGGCAAGACCCAGGAAGAAGAAAAGTCCGATCGAGAGATCGGAGAGGGCCCTAAGGCGTCCCTGWGCCGCAGCCTCCTCCCGCCGGAGGCGCAGCTGCTCCCGCCGCGCCCGCAGCAGCTGCTCCCGCTGCAGCTGCTCCCCGTAGTGCGCACGGTAGAAGGCGTCGAAGTTGAAGAGCRGCGGGACGGTCCCCTGGCGGGCAGCGGGGGCGCGGGGCGGTGGCGGGGTRGCGGCGGGAGGGCGGCCCGAGGGCCGGGGCGCATGGCGCAGCTCCTCGGCGCTCAGCAGCCCGCGGTCGTACTTGCGGCGCAGCGCGGCGCTGCCCAGCACTCGGTAAGCCTCGCTGACGGCGGCGAAGCGTGCGGCCGCGGCCGCGCTGCCGGCGTTGCGATCGGGGTGGTACCGGAACGACTGCTCGTAGTACGCCGTCTTGATCTGCGCCGCCGTCGCCGTGGACGGGACACCCAGCACCTCGTAGAGGTTGCGGCGTGGCCGCGGGACTTCAGCGCCACCCGTCTGCACGGCCCGGGACGGCGGCGGGCCGCAGCCGGGCCGCGGGGCCGCGGGGAGGAGCCACCGCAGCCGCCCGAGCGCCGCCGGCTCCATCGGGGCCTCAGAGCCCGCCCGCCGCCATCGCGGGCGCCGCCGCACCGASAAATGACGTCACGGCACGGCAGCGAGCGCGGCGCGGCAAAGTGACGTAGCAGACAGCTGGTCGGGTGGCAGTGACGTCACGCAGCGGCAGCATGGCGGGCAGCGGCCGTCGGCCKGAGCACCGCGGGCCGCCCGAGCTGGTGAGGGGGGATGGAGGGGAAATGGACACCTCTGCGGTGGCCTCTCCTGGAGGGTCCGGGCCTCACCGCTCCCGCCGCTCTCTCGTTACAGTTCTACGATGAGACCGAGGCGCGGAAATACACACAGAAGTATGGCGGAAGCAGCGCTGCGGGACTGCGGGGCCGGGCACGGCCTGGCGTGGGGCGGGGAGGGGTCTCCTTATGGGGCGGGCGTCGGGGGGACCCACCGGGGACGGTCCTGGATTCTGCCGGGAATGGCGGGGGCCCTGCCGTGAGGCCTGAGCGGTCCGGCCCCGCGGAGTGGAGCGGAGAGGATCAGACCCTGCCGTGAGGGGAAGGGGTGGGGAGGTCCTGCCGTGAGGGGAAGGGTAGGCAGGTCCTGCCGTGAGGGGAAGGGGTGGGCAGGTCCTGCCGTGAGGGGAAGGGTGGGCAGGTCCTGCCGTGAGGGGAAGGGTGGGCAGGTCCTGCCGTGAGGCGTTGTGGGTTCTAGCGGTGTGGGGGGATGTCGCTGTGGGGTTGCTGCCCATTGCCCACGCTCTGCCTGTGCCTCAGTTCCCGGGTGGTGGAGATCCAGTCGCAGATGTCGGAGCGCGCTGTGGAGCTGCTGGGGCTGCCCGAGGACCATCCGTGCCTCCTCCTGGACGTGGGGTGAGCGGGGCTGTGCCCGGTTCTATGGCACATGGAGCATCCGGGACTGGAGGGGTGCACAGGGCAAGGGGGCAGCTTGGTCTCACAGCACCACTGTCTCTCCTGTGGGCTGAAGAAGAGGGGCAGGCTGCTGTAATGTTGGTTGTGTCCGGCCAGCAGCACCCTCAGACTGGCCCCATGCTTTCCCTCTTCCTCCCTCCAGCTGTGGCTCAGGGCTGAGTGGGGATTACATCTCAGAGGAGGGTCACTACTGGATTGGCATGGACATCAGCCGTGCTATGCTGGGTGAGCACAAACTCCACTGAGACCCCCATGTCGCCTCAGGCCCCGAAGCTGGGAGCTGGTTGCCTGAGCTGTGCTCTGTTGTGTGCAGATGTGGCTGTGGAGAGGGAGGTGGAAGGAGACCTTCTTCTTGCAGATGTGGGTCATGGCATTCCCTTCAGGCCTGGCATGTTTGATGGCTGTATCAGGTGAGTCTGTGCATGTRACTGAACTCTCTTGATGCTCTACAAAACTACAATACACATGATGCACTTCTGGTAAATCACAGGCCTTGTCAGCTGCTCTCTTTGCTCTGTGCAACTTGGCTCAATCACTCCARGACAAACCTCCAAAATTCTGGATGGTAGAAGCAGCTTGTGACAGCTGTATAACAAGTGATGCTTTTCTGTTTGTGCAGATGAGCTAGGAATTTCGTTGAAGGAAATGAAGTAAAATTGGGGATGTTGTCAGGGTYGCAGAGACCTGCACCAAGGAGGAGAACAAAGTAGGTAGCATTGCTTAGAAAGGTCAGTCCCTGAATCAAGGATTTGGTGGTTGATTGTRTGATAAAGGGGACAGAAGGACTTTTCTGCTTAGAGAACAGCTCAGGAAGGTGCTGGGAAGAAGCAGGGAGTGTCCATTGCTGATGCAAAAGCTCTGTTTTAGATTGCTCATTGGAGAAATGTGCTTGGCCAGGCAAGGGACACAGCTGAGCTCTTGAATTCTCATCAGGAACTGTAGTGATTGGACTAGGAGTAATGGGTTCAAGCTGAAAGGGGGGAAGTTCAGGTGAGATATACAGAAGAAATTCTTCCCTGKGAGGGTGGTGAGGCTGTGGCACAGGGTGCCCAGAGCAGCTGGGGCTGCYGCATCCCTGGAGTGCCCAAGACCAGGTTGGACGGGGTTTAGAGCAACCTGGTCTAGTGGGAGGTGTTCCTGTCYATGGCAGGGGTGGAACAAGCTGAGTGTTAAGGTCCCTTCCAAYCCAAACCATTCAGTCATTCTATRATTTGAGCACTTGGACTAAAGGAGATGTTTGGCAATGCTTTTGTCCTTTAACTTAYGTACCTTGTCAAGTTTTGGCATAATGAGTCCCCAGAGGGGTTTGTGTAACTGCAAAACAGAAGGCAAAACTACAGAGGAAATTAAATMATTTCCTTGAGGCCCAGCACATGCTTAGTGCTGGAATTCAGCTCAGAGGGAGGTGGCAGGCTCTGTGAAGGAACCAATGACTTAATGTTCTKGGGATCTTATTTTCCTCCTCAGTATTTCTGCAGTGCAGTGGCTCTGTAATGCTGACAAGAAATCACACAGTCCCCCMAAACGCCTCTACAGATTCTTCTCCACCCTTTACACTGCCCTGGTAAGTGCTACCCTTTCCCAACCAGSCCTCTGCTGCTCTTATCTCTTCACTGGTGCTTTTTAGCAAGATACTTCAAGTCATGTTGTTTTAAGTAAATGCTGCTCTGAAGTAGGACTGGCAGGAGAACCTGCTGCTTACCTTCTTTCCTGCTGCTGCTTCTCATCAAGGTTGGACTTGATGTTCTTGGTGGTCTTTTCCAGACTTAACAGTTCCATGATTCTGTGATTCCTGGTGGTCCTCCTGGGAGGGGGACCCCACCTGTGCCTCGCTGGCTCTGTGGGCTGAGCAGCTCTCCTGGGAGCCTTGTCCCAGAGGTTTTGGGGAGAAGAGCGCTTGTGTCTGGGCTAGGATGGGGTGACCAGAGGGATTACCTGCACTGAGACAGCTGTGTGACCAGCTTTATTTCCGGCAGGCCCGAGGATCCCGAGCTGTGCTGCAGCTGTACCCTGAGAACTCGGAGCAGGTACAGGCCATCAATCAATTGGGAAGGGGTACAGGCAGAAAAACCATGTGATTTTGTTGGCTCTGGATGCATCGTGTTCTTCCACATCAAGTCTGTCTCTCTGTCCTGCCTGCCAGCTATAACACTCTTCAAAAGTCCCAAAAAATAACCTGTAAGGATGATGCCCTGTGCAATTCTGTTGTTTCATAGGTTGTCTTGGGCTGCGCCATAAAGTGGTGGGACATGATGTGAATCTGGGTTTTAAGACTGGCTGTAGTCATCAGCACTGCACTGTAATTCCTAAGGTCTGGAAAATCCAGCCCAGTATCYCTCTCCTAGAGAGTCTGCTGTGCCAGCTAGCCCAAACTAGACTGAGGAGCAGGGACAACCAACAAAAGCAGCAAATTGGTGTCTGGATAGTACTGCAAAACTAGGAGATAGGGGTGGAGCTTAACAGGAGGAGAAACAATCCACCTTGGGAATGCCCAGTCAGCTGTGGTTCTTCCAGAGGTCTCTTGAGCATTCCTGGGGGATGACTGCTAATTAACTTTTGCACCTGCTGTTCTTCCCAGCTGGAGCTCATCACAGCCCAAGCCATGAGAGCTGGATTTACAGGGGGAATGGTGGTTGATTACCCCAACAGCGCCAAAGCCAAGAAGTGAGTCCTGGGTCTGTCTGTGTGTTTGGGGTGAGGCCTGGGTTTAGCAGTGATTTTTTTTTTTTTTTCTTTTCCCTCTGACCTGTGTTCTCTCATTACACAGTCCTGGACAGAGGTTACAGCCTAGATCTGAYTCTGTTATAAACCATCTCAGTCTTGCCTGGGGACTGCCATGAGTCCCTCACATGCTGAATCCCAGCTTCATGCTCTTTATTCTTGTTCTTTCAGGTTCTTCCTCTGTCTCTTTGTTGGGACATCTGGCACATTACCAAAGGTGAGCACCTCCATGGGTCAGCAGAGATGCTGTCCTGGTTGCTGGGTGATGTGAAAGAGCTGTGGGCAGTGTGGGAGGCACACAGCTGTGTATGTGCAGATGTGACTTTATAAATTTTCTGCCAGTCACCAAGCCCTGCTCTCATAGACTAGTTTGGGTTGGAAGGGACCTTAAAGCTCATCTTGTWCCAGCCTCCTGCTAYAGGCAGGGACACTTTCCACTGGACCAGGTTGCTCCAAGCCCTGTCCAACCTGGCCTTGAAAACTTCCAGTGATGGGGCAGCCACAGCTTCTCTAGGCAACCAGTGCCAATCACCTTTCCAGGGAAKAATTTCTTCCAATATCCAATCTRACCCTTCCCTCTTTCAGTTTAAAGCCTTTCCTCTGACATTTGGTTTTTTTGCTGTGGTTTCTAGAAGACCAGTTTGTTCCTGCTCTGGTTCTTCTCCTTGTAGATCCCTGCATTCCCCTTGGTTTTGATGGGCTGACTAATAGCTGTGCCTGGTCCAGAGGAGAACACAACTTCCCAATTTTGCTTTCCAGGGCCTTGGTACCGAATGTGCCAATGAAGAGCTGCRTCAGGCAAAGTTCACCAATGAGAGGTATCGTGTGGGGGTGAAGCTGCAGGTTCTYCCCTGCAGGGAGTGGGGGGCTTTGTTTTGCTGGGGACCATAGTGCTGCTGTGTGAGAAGCAATGGGAGAGAAAGGACAGGGAGGACTCTTAGCAGCCCAGTAGAGAATTGCTTTGTCTTTCCAAGGGCCTGGACAYAGGGAACAAAACTGGTTAGTTCCCAGGGCTCTTCCAAGGGGCTGTAGGTGTTTACCCTAGAGCTGCACCTGCGCAGTCCATCAGGTGTACTTTGTGTCCAGCACTGGGTTCTCCACCTGGGGTCAGCAGTGTGGGAGTGTTTACAGAKCTCATGATGGAGGCAGGCTGGTGTGCCTGAGTCTTGGTGTTCCCTTTTCCTTCTGTCCAGGTCTTTGCTCAGCTCTGCTTAGCTGTGGCCTGGGTGTTTCTGCTGCTGGCCAGGTCTCTTCCCACAGGAAGGGTGCAGAGAGTAACCCCTCTTGCAGCCAGTGGGAGAGACAGAGAACAAAAACCAGAGGAAAGTTGTCATGCCTGCCAGGAGCTTGTGGCTGCCATGTTTTCCTGCCTCTTACATTGCTGTTCTCTGCTCACTTAGTCTAAGGGGTACTTGGTCTTTGAGGGCAGTAGCAGAGCTGGGAACTTTTTAGGAAGCTTGACTTTGTTTGCCTTGTTTGGAGTAGAGCAGACAAAGGGAAGGTGGTTGTGCATGAGCCCATAATCCTTTAAGAGCCCAGAGTGCAGCATACATGGGGCATGGGATGGGGGTGTGCTGGGCTGCTTGAGTTTATAGGTCAGGATCCCTCAGCATTGAGCCAGGGCTGGAATCAGCCTTCTCCACTGTTTGGAGTTCGGCCACCTGCTCCAGTGCTGGCTGAGCCTCTTGTCCAGGGGTGGTGGGAGGGAAACACACTACTTTTGTGATCCCTTTCTGGGTGACAATCCTCTGGGGCAGAGGAATGTGTCCCCATGCCTCAGTTCCTCTCCAGCTGCTGTCCACTTTGCCCACAGGACACGGTTCAGAAATGTCAAGGGCAAGTCTGTGAAGAAAAGCCGAGACTGGATCTTGGAGAAGAARGAGCGTAGACGACGCCAGGGCAAGTGAGTTCAGCTGAGTCCTGCCTCAGGCTGGTCTGGCCTGCTCTCACCCGTCCAAACTCCTGCCACAAACCTGCTCCCATCCCCTCCCAGCATGACCTGAGCTGTTCTTTTCCCACAGGGAGGTGCGGGCAGACACGAAATACACSGGTCGGAAGCGCCGTCCTCATTTCTGAACTGCTCTGGACACTGCTGGCRTGGAAGGTGGCATGTGGCTGCCTTCAGTGAGCCTCCTGTGGATGGCACAGATGGCACCCCACATCTAGGAGGACTTGYTGACTGGTACTTGTGGCTCTTCAAGGTGCAAACTGGCTCAGTTTGCCAGACACCAAAACTTCCAGCCCTGTTTCCCTGGTGAAGGTGCAGACAGTGCTCTGGCCACTTGAGTGTCTGCAGTGCCGTAACTTACCTTCCCAAGTGCAGGGAGCCAGCTGAGCTCTAGGTAAGCCAGGATGTGATATCCAGCTCCTCACTAAAGTGTCAAAGAGTTGGAAGTGTTTGCTGGTCTCCTGCATCCTGCCCTCGGTGCTGTGAGTACTGAGGTGGGAATATGGTACCTCATTCCTTGCCAGCTTCCCCTCTGCCTGCAGAGGATCCACACTGTCAGAGTGTAAATCCATGAGGACAAAGTTCCTCTTGGCACAAGTGTTACTCCAGTAACCATTTGCTCCTGTGGGTGCTTGGCACCAAGTCCACCCTGTTTGCTTTAGTGTGCTGACTGGACCCCCTGTCACCCCTTGAAACAAGGAGAGGTGCCACACAGAGCTTTACATTTACAAATGTTTATTCTACATAAAAATTCCACAAAATGGGAAGCTGTTTTGCACCCAAAGCCTTGGGAGAAGAAAGGGATGCTAGCAGGGAGGGAAAGAGGGAAGGAGAAGAGAGGCAACATATAGTGTCGTCCAGCCCAGTGAGACAGAGCAAGCCAGGGTCAAGATCCACATAGAAAACAAGGACACTTAGCTCACAGTACAGCAACAGTAGAACTCCACGGGGGGGGCTCGGAAAGCCTTCAAGTACATTAATTACAAAAAAAACCCAATCCCCAGTTCGAGTGCAAGCTGTGCATGCCCCACACTGCTCGTGGAATACTGCATTGACACGCTCCCAGCACAGGGAGGGCAGGTGGCACTTGGAACAGAGGTGGTGGAACCCAAAGGACAAGCGGGTGGAGGTTGGGGGCTGGAAAGAAAAGGTGAAATGTCTTCCCAAAGCACAACCACATTTGGTGATTTGGTCTGTACATGCAACGACAGGTAGGTAAAAAGGAACTCAATGGGGCTTCCCATAGTGCAGGGGTAATTATTGCACCAAAACACCCTCCCCTCACAGCGAGGACAGTGTGAGCCTGCCTCTGGGGCAGCCGTGGCAGCCTGCTCCTCATCTCCCTTGCCTCGGAGCCCAGCACCACAGCTGCCCACAGGATCCCAGCRAAGTGCCAGCAGCCCTGACTGGCCCTATTTGACTCCTGCTGCTGGGGGTGCTGCTGGCAGTGGTGGTGCCAACAAGGAGCAAGGGCCAAGAATCCCCCCCAGTGCCATTCCTGGCCTTGTGCCTTGACAGGGGTGCCACAGTCCAGATATCAGGTGCACTTGTGCCACTAAAGCCGCTGCTTGGAAGAAAAAAAAGTCACCTTGTGCTAGCAGTGGGCATGGGTGCAGGGCAGGARCCTGGGAGGAGGGTTTTCCTGCCTGCCCAGTGTTATTGCTTCCTGGAGGGGCCCCAGGGCTCTTGCTGGCCTGGCAGAGTGAGCATGGATGGCAGGGAGCTGTTGAGGGACAGGATCATGGCTGCTCCCTTTTCCTGCAGCCAGACATGTCCCTCTGGAGCAGAGACCCTGCCCTTGCCGTTCTCSTGCCCCTGCCTGTACGGTCCTGGTGCCCCAAGCCCTTCAGTGCACACAGGCTGCAGTGCTGGAGCTCACACGGGTCAGTGTGGGACTGTGAAAGAAGTGGGCTCTGGTCTGGGATGTTCCCGTGGCCACACCCTGAGGGGCTTGGACTGGGCAGTGCRAGGAACCAGGCTGGACCCACTTCCCAAGGGCAGCTGCATGCAACAAAGGGCTCTATGGGGGGACCTTCGGTGACAGTGGCAGAGGAGGAGCCGTGTCGGGGCTGCTGCTGGGCTGATCTGGGCTGGGCTGGGCTGGGCATGGGGGAAGTGGTACTCAGTGGCTGCAGCCACTGCCTTTCCCCTGCACTTGGGGGCACCATACACCACACACAGCCAGCGCCTGAACCATAGCACCCTGCCAGCTTGGGGAACAGCTCTGCTCTGGTTCTGGTGGGAGCTGGGAGGTGACGCTGCCCGAGGTTGGAATACTGGTCCAAGCGTCCCTTTTCTGCTGACAGCCAACCCCTGTCCCAGTGTGGCAGTGAGCCTGGCTTATACTGGGACTCCCCTGTGGTGCTTTGGCATGTGCACAAGCCAGCCASAGCCCTGGGGTCTCCAGAGGAAGGTGAGGGCACAGCTCTGTCCCCAGCCTGAGGGAAACTGGCAGTGGCAGCACTGGATGCCCCTGAGCTGCCAGCAGGCTTAAGACTCCACAGCATCATCCATGTGGGTGCAGCAGAGGGCACAGGGCACCCAGGTTATCCCACAGCACCCCCTGAGAGCAAGGGCCTCACTGGATGGCTAGGCAGAAGGGCAGGGTGCCAGGAGGTGGCAAACAGGCGCTTGCCYGTTCAGGAACGAGTTGGGTACAGGCAGAGGAAGGCTGCTGCTCCTTGCTTGCAGGGGGCTGGATGCATCAAGGGCTGCTCCTGGGACCACAACAGGAGAAACTGCTTCCTACCCCTGGCCCTGGGTATGGCAAAGCAAGGCTGGAGCAGCCCTGCTTGCAGGTGAGTGCTGCTGGGGGCTCCAGACATCAGGAACAGCCCCAAACCCCGGCAGGCAGAGTCCAGGCCTGTGGGCAACAGGAACCAGGACCACCGTGCGCCAGGGCTGAGAGCACAGTGATGAGGCTGTGGTGCACAGTGAGCAGCCTTATACCACCCATGCCACCCTGYCCTATCAGGCCAGCATCCAGGAGCAGCACTGGTCCCCACGTGGCCTGTTCCTGGTCCCCAGGGAACTGTGATGGCCCTAAGCAGCAGCTACTCGTTCCACACTGTTCCATCAGGCACTCACCACCTGCACCCACCTTCCAGCCCTTGGCACTCTACTGGGGTGAGGGCCCATGTAGGGAGGGACAACCCTGCCACCGAACCAGTGGCAGGGATGGAGCCCCAGATCCAGACAGTCACTGGCCAGGCAGGGCYGGGCAGAGCACACCCCTAGGGAAGGGCCCCGGAGAGAAGTGGCCCAAGGGAAGGTGTTTGCAAGCATAGATGCGGCTGACAGACATGAGAGTTTGAGATGATGGGYAAGTTGGGGAGGCTGACTAGGTACTGTACTCCCAAGGACCCCTGACACCCATCACTGATGCCTCTCCTCCTCCACTAACACGGACTGCCCATCACTGGAGAAGCAGCAGTGCCCAAGGGCACTTCTGCCCCCCACCTAGTCCCAGCCAGCCACCCCGCCTGGAGCAGTGATGAAAGCTTGGGTTCCCCCCCTAGGAGTCCCCCTTGCACCCATCACCTTCCCCTGCCCCCCGCCAGCGCCCCGGGGCTGGAGCTCCCTCCACACAGACGCACCGCACACACAGCATCACAAACAACCATGCATTAGAAACTGAAATGCTGCTGGGAGGCTCCGGGGCTGCGTGGGTTGCTCCAGTGTGGCTGCAGCCCCATGGCACGCGCGGCTCCATCCATCGCACACAAACAGTCCTGTGGGGTGAGTCTAGCCGAAAATGCCGCCAAAGGTGGAGGCGATGACGATACCCAGGATCACACAACAGATTATGATCATGATCTTCTTCTGCTCAGGTGTCCCAGCAGCAGTAGGGAGAGAGGAGAGAGGGGAGAGGGGATGGTGAGTGTTGGGGCAGGATGGACCCAGGAGCTTGGAATGGAGCAGACGAGCAGTCTGTCCTGCTCCCCTTTGCCCGTGACGGGCTTTGAGTAGCACCTTGGAAGCCAAAAGGGCTCTGGCAGTCCTGGGCAGGGATGGGCACTCCTGCTCTTGCCGCAGCCCTGAGCTGGCAGAGCTGAGCTGGTGGCCCTCAGGTCCTCAAGCTGATATGGGTCCAGGCAGCTGGCACTGTGCTCAGGGTCTAAGCTGGACCATGACCTTTCCCTGCTTTTTGCAAGGGACATGGCTCTCACAGCCTGGTCCAGGGCATGCTTGTCCCTTTGCCTCCCTGCAAGCAGYACCCCCACTTATTGTCAAATTTCACAGTCTGTGCTGGGATCTCTGCCTCAGCTRTACAACCCTTAGGACCTGGGCTGCTCCCTGTGGTGTGGGGTAATAATGCAAAGCTGTGCCAGGCTGTCTGGGGCAGGCAGAGGGGCAGGCAGGGTGCCATGGTGCCCTGCCCCTAGTATGGAGGCGTCAGCTGTGCAGGCAGTGGCAGATGGGCCCCAGCCAGAGACGTGACTCACCCGTCTGGCTTTGCTCTGGTACTTCACCGCTTTTTTGGTGTCAGACACGGCCCGCTCCACATAGTCCACCGAGTGCTCCACGTTGTACTCGATGCGGTCAATCATTTCTCCCTGCAGAGGGAGGACACAGCCCACGCACCCGTGCGYGTGCAGACATGAGCTCCTTCCTGCTCCGCTGCTCCCTGGCTCCAGGTGGATGCTGCCTTGCCCAGCAGCCCTGTGTGAAGAGAGGCACCATCAGCTATCTGTGRGCACTGGGTGTTCTCTGGGGTGCARGCTCTGGACTGCATGCCCCATCCTAGAGGATCTCTGTGCACATCCCAGCAGGGAGACATGCAAGGGTGAGGGACAAACRAGTCCCCAGCCCAGTCCTGGYGCTGACCTGTCCAATATGTCAGGTGACATCAAAGCCACAACAGGATCTACATACACCAGCATCTCACCACATGCTGCTGAAACCAGAAGCATGGCAGGGAGCGAGAACACCAGTAGCACCACGTCGGGTGCTCACAAAACCATGCACATGCAGGGACCAGGGACCACTGCTCCGATCTGCACAAGCATCACACTGACAGCAGAGGGTCCAGAGCAAGGCCAGTCAGGATTGCAGGGCCCTKCGGGAACCCCTGCCCTGCTCTGCCCCTGCTGCAGGGTTAGGCTGGGGGTGGAAGCTCCTGTGGGTGTGGATTGGGGCGAGCTCCTCCAGCCTTGTTCACCTCCTTTGGCCCTATCCTGTCTGGGTAGGGAAACAGCCAGCTGGACAGGGTTGGTAGGAGTGGGAGGTTTGAAGCCCGGTGTCCTCCTGCATGGCAAGGAGGGAACTGGGGCCACAGCACCATGGACTCATAGCTGGCAGCTCTAAAATGTCCATAGCTCAAACTAATGCTGGAGAGCACAGGGAGGACAAACCTTGAGGCTCAGGGGTGCTGAGCACTGAGCCCCACCAGCTGCTCCCTTCTTTGCCTAAAGCTGCGCTTTCTTCTTCCCACCTGTGCCATGCGCGGAGGCAGAGCAGAGCTGGCAGCCCTGCTGCCTCCCCTTCCTGCAGCCTCTGCTCCAAGTGACAGCAGCTCCGAGCTTCTCATCTACAGGACAAGGCTGTTGGCACCATCCAGCCCTTAGAGCGGGGTAGGGAATCATAATTGCCCACGTGTCCCCCCCACAGCAGACAGGACAGAGCACCAACATCACTGTGCGCTGGTGACCCTTGCCATCTTGTGATGGTGACCCTTGCCATCTTGTGAGTGGCCATCCCAGCACCATGCGAGCGGCAGCCATGCAGGAGCAGCCATGCAGAGTAGAGCATGCAGCACCACGGGCCTTTACCTGCGGGCCTTTACCTGCCACTGACGTCTCCTCAGGCCATGGCAGCATGGCAGGCAAGAAGGGGCATGAGCAAAGATACAGGAGCACCTGCCTGGCCTGAAGGGACTGGTGCCACAGGCTGGCAGCACAGCTGAGGGTCGCCCTGAGCTCACCCACCTGGGCCTGGGGCTCCAGAGAAGACACAGAAACCTCCCCCTGCACGGCAGCCACCCACTGACCTCCCTCAGAGCCCCTCACCGCCTCTCCCATGCCACGCATGCAGCACCCTGGGCCAGGTGGGGGGCTTCAGCCCCAGGGAGTCCAGCTCAGCCCCACTAGGAGCCATGCTGGTTYTAGATGTTGTTTTTCCTCTCAACACGCACCCAGGCAAGGGAGCATTGTTCTCCAGCCTCCCTAGCCACTGCAGGGAGCCCCACCACCCTCCAAACCCTCCAGGTGAGTCCCTGGGCTGCACCAATTTCCCCACCTGGCTCTCCACCAGCATGGCCATGTCCATGAACATGTCGTGCAGCTCTCGGATGCTGTTCTCCAGTTTGATGATCTCGCTGTGCCGTGTCTCAATCTCATTCAGTGCCTGCTTGGTGATGTTTGAATCCATGATGATCTGCAAAGAAAGTAAGGCCACTGAGCGCCAGGTCTGACACCGGAACTGGGGGCACCAAGAGTGGGATGAACAGGAGCTACAGAGCCCCTCCAACCACCCCAAGCCAGGTAATTTGCAGGATGCTGGGATGCAGGCTCTGCTCCAACAGCAACCTCAAACCAGACCTGAGCCCCTAGGTCCCCCTCTAACATGGGCCATGTTTATCACTCCTGTACTGAGGCCACTGTGGCAGCACGTCCACCAGCCCCACCCCTGGGCTGCAGCTTGTGCTAGGGCTTACCCCAGAGGAGAAAATGGCTGGGTTGCCGCTCTCCAGCATGTCCTCCAGCTCCTCGCTGGTGGTGGTCCTGCCAGCTGCAATGACACAACACAGGTCAGCCAGAAGTCCCCTGTCCCCATCACAGGTGCCATGGCCCCACCACAGGGCTCTGCTGGCTCCATGGTATTTATCCCGTGAGTGGAAGAGAGCAAAGCTATCAGCCTCAAGAGCACACAGCACAGTTTGAGGGGCTGCCCTCCCACAGCCCAGCTCTGACACTCCTCATTTTAAGGCGATCAAGCTGCCAGCTTGGCACACTCATACAGGAATGCCCATCTGTCCCTCCTGGACACACCAACTGTTCCTGCAGGTCAGGGAGCAGTGCTAAGTGACCAACAGCTACCAGCATCCATGGTGGCTGTGAAGGAGGAGGCATGGGGAACAAGCCACAAGCAGCTATGCTCTTGTCAAATCCCTGTTCAGCCAGTTCAATGCCATGAGGACATTGGGCTCAGCTGAAATGCCCAAGTTTTGGCCCTGCTGCTGTGTAACTGAAGCCAGGCTCTATCCTTCACCCTGTGGCAAAACCCTCCCATGTCTCTGGGGACCTCCAGCCCCATGGCTCCTCTGGAAGGAATTCACCCACAGCACGTGGTTCCTTTTCCTCCCCACCCCATACAGCAGAGACAGATGCTGATCACTCCATGGGTGACACGGATCCCTGCACTGACTGCAGTGTATTCCTTGGGATAGCAGCCATGTGGGACATGTGGAATTGGGGCCAAACAGATGGAGATGCTGGAYGGGGCACTGGGGCTGCCCAGTGGGATGGGGAGGGTGAGCAGGTCACCTGAGACAGGGCAGGTGACACCCCACCAGTGCAAAAGAAGCAGTCAGAGAGGAACAGCTAATGAAGTGACTCCACCAAGTTTGATGAAACCAAACCCTGCAGGGCAGGGCTGGGATCTGTAGGTGCTCCCCTGTGGCATGCTGCCTGCAGCCAGTGGTACCAGAAGAGACAACAGCATCTTCTRTRATRAGTCCAGGGCACCTCAGAGTAGGGRAATGYGGCAGAGTGCAGCACAGCTCCCAGACCCATGGGCAGAAGTTCGAGTTCTGTGTGAGGCTGGTCTAGACAACTACGACATGGCAGTGACCCCCAAAGCCCTGAGAAGCTGCCGTTTTGAGTCACAAAAACAACCTGAGCCCTGTCTTTGCCCCATGCGAGTTCACAGCTGCATGTGAGGGCTCAGCTTTGCCATCTGTGTGCTCATGGATCTCAGGATCAATGACTCTCCCCACCCTGCCCAGCTCTCAGAAGGGTCCACAGCCTATTTCCAGACACCATGGCACATTTCAGGGTGACACAGCATCACTCCTACCAAGGATAACACGCAATACCCCCTTGACAGCCTTTCTTGCCTGTTGGCTCCTTGGTCTGGGCTGACACTGCCCTGCTCCCAGGAAGAGAGAACAAGGAACCAAGCAGACCAAATTTACAAACTCKCCTGTTGATGTGCCCAACACTGAGAAGGCCCAGTGACAAGGAGGAGCGTGCCAGATGCTGTGCATGGAGAGCTACTTGCTCTGCCAAATGCTCTGCCTCAAGGCAGTGCTGAAGGATGAGCAGTGGGATCAGCTCCAGGAGATCATGGGCAGAGGTAGGATGGATGCAGGATACATGTTCTCATCCTATCCTTCTTGCTGCCTCGTTCCCCTAATGCAGAGCTGGCAAAAGCCGCGTCAAGGTGAAGAATTAGAGCAAAGGCATTGCGTGGATTAACACAGCCAAGGGTCATGGCTGCTCAAGAAGAACTTGCTTTAATGCTGAGTCAAAGCTTGGGGCCTGGAGGTTGTATCTTGCCCACACCATCCAGCACAGCCCCTGCCAAACCATGTAACAACCGGCAGGACCTCAGAAGACTTCCCAGGAAGGCCACTGCCTCCTRACCAAGATTCCTGGTTTGGCTTCCTGGTCTGCTATTAGTTAATCCACAGCAGTAAAATCAGCTCCAAGTGTCCTGGGTACCTGCCTGATCTGCTGCTCACATCACTACAGRGCCTGGCACAGCCACAAATGGGAGTGAAAGGATGGAGCCATGGCAAGGTGGCACCGAGGAAGAGGAGCCTGGGGCAACACTTCTGCCTCAAAATTTGGGGATACACTGGAAAACCCTGAGAATTGGACCTGTGCCTCCCCAGAGTAGATCTGCCTCTTACTTGGCATCTTTAGCAATTAAAGCTTCTTCTAAGCTCTTCTTTAAGGGGAGAAGCAGCTCTGCCAATGAGACAAAGATCCCAGAGCATGGAGGGAGCTGGAGAAGCAACCTCAGCCCAAAGGTGGCATGGAGAGAATGGCAAGAGACAATGCCCAGGTCACACTGCTGCAGGGACAGCAGTATATTGGAAACTCTGGGACATGGCAGACATGAAGCCAGTGAGGAGACTTCCCACCTCAAGGCACAGTTCTTGGTCCTGCAATGCCCAGCTGGACAGAGTGACCAGCTCCCAGAGGATGGGGCAGGATCAACCCTGTTAGGGTGTGGGGGAGGCTCCCAAAGAAGCCTCTGGTGCCAATCCCATAGCTCAGATGATGCTGGATGCCAGTTTGCCTAATTCTGCATGCAGATGGTCTGTATGTAGGAGAGGTATCTCCAAGCTGTAGGGAATCCAACATGCCATGGCCAAATTAAGAGCTCAGCTGGGCTCTTCAGGCTGGCAGCATCCCCTGGGCTGGCAGCATCCCTCCCCCTGGCAGCAGGGCTGCACGAGCACCTGCAGAGCCACAGCTGGGGATTGGACCAGACATGCTGAGGACAAGGCACCTTTCCTAGGCTGGGATCCTCTGCCTGGAGCTGGCTTTTATGCTCTTATTAGACACAAATTCCCATAACTCATGGAGAGATGGATAACACTGTCCTATCYGCCTGCATGTGAGCAAAAGGGTATGAGTGACTGACCCCCTGGCTGTCACCCAGCCCAGACTGGGCACTGCTCACGCTGGTTTTGGGATGAGAAGGATTCARCTACAAAACCCTGCCCAGCACATCACAAAGTGCCACCCACCTCCYAGTCCCTCAGCATCTGCACTCAAGATAAATCCCATGGTCATTCCTGAGATCAAAGTGCCTCAGGGATCCTAAATAAGCTCTGGGGTGACCCAGATGAGCTGCCAGGGCCAGAGCAACCCCCAGACTCTCTTGGGGGCTCAGGGTGGGATGCACCCAAAGCTCATAGTTCTGCACACCAGYTCACCTTGTATGGCATGAAACCTCTAGTGCCCTTGGATACAGCAGATGTTTTATTCTTGTCTCCTCCGTTTTGCATGTAACAAAACCATCCCTAAAAGCAAGCAGCATCTGTGCAGCACCTCCATGACTTCAGTTGCACCCCCACTACAGAGAGCAGCTCCTCCAAGCTCCAAATCAAATTTCTCTGGGAGCAAAACCTAATTAGATTAAATTTCTCCTAATGAGCAAAATGGAGAGGAAAGAAGCAAAGGTGTGACACCTCTCACCTCAGGCAGTGTGGAGGGGGACAAAGCTCCTGGCAGCAGATAAGAGGGCATRGCTGGGGGGAGCACAGTCCAGCTACTGTCCTGCTGCCACCAACTTGAGGACATGGCCATCCTGCCATCCCTCCATGAAATCTGGAGTGTTTAGGAGAAGAGGGAGTGAGTAAAGGCGGGGTGAGGGCACCAATTAAGGCTGGGGCTGAAGCAGTGGGAGAGGGGAGGGRAAGGGAGGGGAGATGCACTTCATCCCACCAGAGACACTCCTGGGTGGGCAGCATGAGGGTGATGGCCACCAAGGCACAACCTCTGGCACTCAGACACAGTAGTGCCTACACCAGGAGATGGGAACAGATTCTGAGGGGGCTGTGGGGTGGCTGTAATCTGGAGCAGTGACTCTACATCATCAACTGCCACTGTCCTACTGGCAGAGCCACATGTGGTGAGGATGGAGAAGTTTGCTGGGTGCTGGGGAGCCCACCCAAAACAGCTAAGAAGTTCCTGCTCTCACACTTTGAAAACCCAAGTGATTTACTGTCTTTGCTGTCAGAGTTCCCAGCCCAGCATTTTCTATCTTTGGATTCCTCAGCTGAAAACRAGAGCTGTGGATTTTGTGGAGCTCTGTGCAGTTGCCACATCCCAGCTGAGTGCTGTTCCMAAGAGCCTGGGCGAGAGCCCCTGGAGCTGATGAAGGCGTTGGCTGGGACAGCCCAGGCCAAGCACAGCCCCTGTCCAGGCAGCACTCCTGGTAAAACCTCTAGYTGTTCCTTTTGATAAGTAATTTTGCCAGGAGATATTTTCCACTGTTCTGATGGGGGAACCCAGCTTTGGCAAAGGGCCGTGCAGAGGACTATGTCCCTCCCCAGCACAGCCCCATCCTACCTCTGCACCTCCTCCACACCTCCATCCTGAAGGGAAAAAGGGTCAGGAACTGGGACACCTCCCCTGCACCTCACATTGCTCCATGGGGACTCCTGAGCAGCCCTTTCTCTGCATCCACCAGGCTCTGTCAGCCACTGACAACCTGGCAGGATGGACAGAGCAGGCACAAGAATACCAATATATTTTAGAAATTCAAGCAGAGCAGCAGAGCCCTCCCAAAACCCAGTAGGAAAACAAGAGGAAGAATTCTTTCAGRTCTACATCCAGTCAAGGACATGGCTGTGTCCTTCCAAATCTCCACTCTCAGAAGGAGGCACAGGGATACCATAAATTCCTGTTCTCACGATAAGCCACTCCTCAGCTGTCAACTGCAGGGTGATTCTGGCTGACRGATGAGTCAGGCAGCTGGAGCAGTGACACATACTGCTTTACAGCAAACTGGCAAGATCTTGTTGAACCTCATGTCAGTCAGCCTTCCCATCCAGCTTTGTTAGTATTAGACATCAGAAAGACTAATCTGAACAAAGATCTCCTTCCAGCCCTCCACAGAAATTCCCACACCCTACAGCATCCAGATTCCCAGACCCATGAAGCACATTTCCACAGGTGACCACCAAGGACACCACTCTGACTCACAGATCTCTTGCCATTATTCACAGTGAGCTGTTGGAGGGAAGAAAAACATCCATTTGGTTGTTAGAAAAAAAAAAAAAAAGACCAAGTTTAGATCCTTCCACTCTGAGCACAAACCCCACAATATGTCTGACAATGAGATTATTTGCAAGGATCTCTTAATCTCTGCATGCCCTGATTTCCCCCTTGCTACTTCCCCTTATTACATGGTTCTTCTTTGCTGGGAGATGACCAGCAAAGTTGTCAAATAGTTTTAAATATCAAATAGTTTTAAATATCCAACAGTTACTCATTTTAAATATTCAACAGTTACGCATTTTTAATTTGTGTCCTGTGGACACCTTGTTTTGTTAATAAAATATCCAAGTATCACTGACTGCCCAGAAGAACCATAAGGAGTATGTTTTGTGGACAGGCAGGACCAACTTCTCCTAAGTGATGGACTCCAGATGATTCAGAGATCTTACTGCCACAGCAGTGTCACCTGGGTGAGGTGTCAGAGGTATCACCAGGGGTCCACCCTTGGCCAGACAACAGAACCATCAGGGCCCAGAGAGGTGTCTGGGACAGCACTGCAGCTCCTTCTCTTCCTGTGCAAGGGAGACCATCAGGAGCAGGGAGCGCTCCCATTTCAAGAACTCCCTTCTCTGTTTTCATGTTTAGCTTAGTTCATCCATGAAGAAGAGCACCCAGAGGAAGGACAARGCATACACAGGAATCAGGAACTCCYGTGAGCTTCTTTGAATTAAAAATCAGCTGTAAACACAGAAAAAATCCTCTCCTTGTGACCCCCACGCTCTCTCTGCAGCATTTTTGGATGTACTTTGCTGGATGCACTTTGACACTGAAACTCAAAGCACCACCCCATGCCCACCTCCCACAGAAGCCRTGTCCCAGTCACTCCCATAGGCTCCTGTGCATCCTGGGTTTTCCCAGGAAGCTCTGCCCAGCTGCAAGAGCAGCTCTAATCCATCAGGAGCCAGTGCAGGATGTAGCCCCATGGCACACACAGCCCAGCTGTGTTCCCACTCCAGGTTTACTCACTGATCTCCAGCTGCCTCTGGATCCTGCCCTTGCAGCGCTCCCGGTAGTCAGTCTGCGTGGCATTGTACTCGGACATCACCTCCACGAACTTGCGCGACAGCGTGGAGTGCTGAGAGGGAAAAGAAGGAGAGAGGGAGCTGAGGGTCCCATGGGAGGGAAAGCCCTGCTATCCCAGCAGCAGGCAAGCTCAGCCCTGGGCACCTCTTGCACCTCCAGCCACCCCAAAAGCATTTCCAGTCCAAATGCTGCTCCAGAGAGCGTGACAGAGCACAAGGGGAGCAGGTGGCAGCAGGTGATACATCCCCAGGGGAGTGGACCAGAGGCATGCCTCATCCAGCCCTCCCGAAGCACAAACTCCAGCCCTGAAAGGACACCTTGGMAGGCTGGCAGCACCCTCCTGGCACCACTTGTGCCCAGAAAGCCTGGAGGTGAGGCCACGGATGTGTCCTGTGTGGAGCTCTGCCAGCCACTGCTATGCTGCCGGGATATGCCAGACCCCACGTGGGCACAGGATGGACCTGTGGGGATCACTCTRCAATGCTGGGTGAGACTGTACCTAGCCCTGCTCAAAGTCACAGTCACAGAATCACTAAGGTTGGAAAAGACCTCCCAGATTATCAAGTCCAACCTGTGAATGAACCCCACTTTGTCAACCAGACCAGAGAACTGAGTGCCATGACCAAGTGTTCCCTCAACACCGCCAGGGATGGGGACTCCACCACCTCACTGGGCTCTCCTTTTTAATGTCTGACAACCCTTCCAGTGAAGAAATTCCCCCTGATGCCCAACCTGAACTGCCACTGGCACAACTTGGGGCTGTTTCCTCTTGTCCCTTGTTCCCTGGGAGCAGTCTGACCCCCACCTGGCTGCACCCTCCTGTCAGGGAGCTGCAGAGAGTGAGAAGGTCCCCCCATGAGCCTCCTTTTCTCCAGGCTGAGTCCCCCAGCTCCCTCAGCTGCTCGTCATCACACTCGTGCTCCAGACCCTTCTCCAGCTCCGTTTCCATCTCTGGACAGTCTCTGCACAGTGAGGGAAYGGGGAATGTCAGACATGCCTGGTGCCACCAGCACTCAGATGTGTTGGTGCAGGTGTTTGTACACCTGGAGCAGCCCCAGCCAGCACAGCCCTATCTCCAGGAGATGGCACTGGAGACATCTCCAGGGTACACTTGCACTGGCTCTGCAGCTATTCTRAGCCAGCAGCAGCACAGTATTTATGGAGAGCCTCAGCTCATCTCCTTCTTCCTCCACCGCAAACCTCACATGAACACCCCTGGCAGCTCCAGCTCCATCCTCTGCTCGAGAGGTGCTGGCAGAGCAAGGTCAGAACAGCTCCCAAGGATCTTGGCTCAAAATCCAGCAACAATGTGACATGCCATCCAAGCAACTCTTCCGCTGTTCCAAAATTGTTTTTCCTAAAATCCACTTTATTCTCATTCAGCTGAAAACTATCAACATATGTTGATCTGCAGCCAAATATAGCCTGGGTGCTGAGTGACACCCTCCCTGCTCACTAGCACACCACACTACRCCTCTTTTGCTTAAGAAGTTATTTAACTCAGTGTTTATTTTCTCAGACTGTTATTTTATGTTCCCATGGGCATCCTACATGTCTACAAAATGCATTTGGTTTTTAAGGAACACGCAGTTTAGTGCAAAATCAGCTGGAAAAAAAAAACATTTTAAATGGCTTTCAGACATTAAATAAACCTACCCGAATATTCACAGCAAATAAAAAGCGTATCAAAATGTATCTTGTGTTTGAAAGAATTCATTAAACGGAAAATACTAACTCAAGTTAGGGAAAGGATCTGTTTCACTCAGGTCTGGCAACTCTTCACTTCCCAAACATGGGGAAAGTGGCCCAAACTGGATTTCCAAAGAGCTGATAAAAGCTCTGGGTATTCAGAGTGGGTTCTGAAAGCCCCCAAAAGCACACACTGAAACTGGGGTATTTGTCCTTCATGTAAGTAAGACAAAAATATTTTTGAAATGCTTATCACACCGATTTTATATATTTATATTTATATTTATATTTATATTTATATTTATATTATATGCTTTTATATAATATATACATACAGAAACATGGAAAATACTGTTGAGATCTCTGGGAAGTTGCATCACTGGCCATGTTTCTGGACTGGGGATGCCCTCAGGAACTGTGACCCTAAGCCCACCCCCTGTACCTGGATCTGCCACAGGCAAGTCCAGATTTGATGAAACTCTTCTGGATGAAGATGAGCCGCGCAAAGGCAGAATAAAAGTCTATAATCTTGATGCTCAGTTACTCCTAGTTTACAACATGTTAACAAGGGGGAATCGGCTCCTCATTCCTTCTTTTACTCAGTGTTTTGCGAATAGCAAAGTCCATACAAACAGGAGAAGGCACTATTACCTGGCACTATTACCTACAGAAGCACCAAGCTTCAAGCACCAGGCATGTCTAAATCAGCCTTCCAGTTTGGCTCATCCCAAAYCCCATACAGAATGTGGGAAGGGAGGWGAGAGCAGGCCARGCTCTGGGAAGACACAGCCACAWTGCCCAGGAGGAGCTGGAACTGGTCAGGGTCACTGCTGAAGGACAAAGGTGGTSGTGATCCCAGATGGGGTATGGGACAAGCGAGGACAGGCTGAGAGACACAGGGTCTGTCAGCTAAAAGTGACAAAGCTCAGAGAGATCATTTTGCTACAATGACCCAGAAGGAGCAAAGAGAGAAGCTGGAACAAAACTCATCTAGGAAGTGCACAGAGACAGGACAAGAGATRAGGGACAAAGCTGGGACATAGAATTCCAGTGACATGTTAAGGAGGAAAACATCTTTGGAAGAGTGGTCAAACGCTGGACCACGGCCCAGAGGACCCATCTGGGTCTGTGGTGTCTCCACCCTCTGGATATTGAGAAGAAAAAAACCTGCAGGAGCTCAGAGTCTGGGATCAGCCAGGTCAGAAGCCAAAGCTCCACAGTGAGGCAACRTCACACTGCCCACCTCAGGGCTTTGTGCCACGGCCCAGAGGTGCTCCTCTGCCCCCAGAAAAATGCTAAAAAATGCTCAGGTTGCAAGCAAACTTTCYATCACCCTGACTGAGGGAGTTGGGGCTTGGCTTGGGTTGATTTTGTGCCAGTCCTGTATTCCTATATTCTGTCAGCTTGTATGCCCAAAAAGTGCCTGTACCATTAAATGCGACCCGGTAGAAGGGGCAGGGGTGGCTGGGAAGGCAATGTGGGCAGTTAAAAGCCAGGGCTGCCAGGCTGCCATGGGCTTTTTGAGCTCAGCTCGCTATGTGCAGCAGAGTTACAATGTTGTAGTTTAGCTAGCTCAGGTTTGTGAGCTTGGGCAAACAGCTCTCCTTGGATGGCTACCCTTTCTGCAACTGCTGTGATTTTTTGGAGTGGATTGACAGGACTGCAATCCGAGAACCAGGAGGCAAGTGCCGACCAGCCAGGCACCGGCAGGGAGAAGCCACGCTGCTCCGTCTCGTCCCGGACTCTGGAAGAAGCCAAGCTGGCGACAGAAACACACACCAAGCCCTCTATTTCATCCATCATGAGGAGAGGACTGCCTCCAAGTTGTTGCCGGAGTGGCCACGTGGACTTTTTCTTTTGTTTCTTTTTCCCGCGGACAGGAGCTGCACCATCTTTCCCCGCACCATGTGCCGAGAGGCTGTGGGGGGAGGGGGTGGCGTGTGCTCCTGGAGTTTTAAATATCCAACTGTTACTCATTTTTAATCTGTGTCCTGTGGGCACCTTGTTTTGTTAATAAACTATTTTTCTCTTCACTTTTGCCCAAACATCTATTTCATATTGGTGGGAAAAATTATCWATTTTTTTCACTTCATTTACTCTGTAACTTTTTTTTTTTCTCTGAAAACATTGTCTCAAACTGAGACAGGGCTGTTCAGCCGGGAGAGGAGAAGGCTCTGGGGAAACTTTAAAGTCACTTCCAGTGCTAAAGGAGCTCCCAGAGAGCTGGAGAGGGATGTTGAACAAGGGCCTGGAGTGACAGCACAAGGGAGAATGGCTTCCCACTGCCAGAGGGCAGGGTTAGATGAAATATTGGGGAAAGATTCTTCCCTATGAGGGTGGTGAGGCCCTGGTACAGGTTGCCCAGAGCAGCAGTGGTAGCCACATCCCTGGAAGCCTTCAAAGCTAGGCTGGATGGGGCTTGAAGCACTCTAGGTTAGTGGAAGGTGTCCCTGCCCTTGGCAGCAGGTTGGACTGAATTACCTTGGAACACCCTTGGGGTTCACAACACTTACGTCAGCACACAGGAGTGTCTCTGGAGTGGGAAGGTTTTTCTGGGAAGGGATCTGCTGACAGCCTGACACTGCCCAGCTGCAGCAGAGCTCTGTCCACACTGGATCATTCCAGAAGGAACAGAAGAGCTGCTCTGAAGCAGAACTTGCTGCTCTCCTGCTGCTGCACCATCCTTTGGCTTCGCCATGCCCCAGCAATTTCCTGTCCCACCTCCCCTMGAGACAGGTGGGCCTTTCCCTTGCCCCAGCTTTGCAGAGAACAGTTCCCCCACAGCCTCAGGCTGAGCTGGGACAGTCTCTCCCTGCTGGTGCAGAGCTTGAAGGTGCTGGGGTTCCAGCTGGGAGCTGCATCTGCAGAGCTGATCCATTAGCATCACTGCCATATTGATCTGGCACCCCCTGTGGATGGGAGAGCAGGCTCCATGAGTGGCTTCCCAGGCTGAGGAGGAGATAAACTACAAAAGCCAAAATTCCTCCAGCACCACTGCAGAGCATGGAGAAACCAGTATTTTTACCTTTTTGTGTGTGTGTAACCCCCTGTGAGAGCCACAGATCTACAYCTGGATCCCACCCCAGGTGATGAAGAGCAGCACTGGCAGCTCCTGTTGCCTCTATACTTTTAATGGTTTGCTAAAACATGTTCTTGGTTGCAGAACAAGGCTCTGAGATGTCTTGTGGTCACCCACATCTCCCAGTACAGATGACACAGCCTTGTAGCAATGCAGTGACAGATTCCAGGTGGAGCCATGGCTGCATCCCACCGGGTGTTCYCTCACCACAGCATCACCAGAAGGTAAAAATCACACACCAGCCCTGCACAGTTGGTCAGGAGGACAGAGCTTCAGCCAGAGAAATCCACTCCACAGCCAAGCACAGACCTCCTCTCCCAGCACCTCCTGGGATCCCTCAGCTACCACTTCCCACCTTYCCCTTCTTGGTGCCACAGGACAAAGGCTCACCTGAGTTTTCCTTATCCGCAGGTCAGCCGATGACCTGTTCAGTCCTTCCTCTTGTTCGATACTCTGCTCAATGCCTGGTYGGGGTAGAAGGACACATTATTTCATGCCATTTGGAGAACAAGCACAGAATCATTAAGGTTGGAAAAAACTGCCAAGATCATCAAACCAACCTTTGACCAATTACCTCAAGCTCATAAAACCACACTGCCAAATGCCACATGTACTAATTTTTTGAACACTTCCAGGGATGATGACTTCACTTTCCCAGAGAGCATGTTCCAGTGTTTAACCAAAGGAAAAGGATTGTTTGGCAAAGGGACTGTGAAAGACTGGTCTGAGGAGCAGCTGGTATTGGGCAGTTCCCAAATCCTGACTCCACCATTCAGACTGGCAGCAAAACCCTGTTTCATGACTGCAAAACACCTGGTGCCCGGCCACTGGCTACAATGTGGGGCTGAAAGGACAGCACTATCACCCCCAGGCTGGCAAGCCAGGTTTTCCATACAAAATAAATGTGATACTCAGGTCTAATTGCCAATATTCAAACAAATTGGAAAGCTGTTCCCACTAGGGAGGTAGGAGGAGGAAACCCAAAGGTGAAGTGTCTCTGTAAAATACCAAACCTCAGAACTTCTCCAGCTGCCTGGACTGGCACAGAGAGGACCCACCTCATYGGCATGAGTGTGCTGCACCATGCTGAGCATCCACGTAGCAGGACAGGGATCTGCCCCTTTAACTATGCAGAWAATTGAGATGAAGCCCTCATGCCCAAAGCCTGTGAATCATGGCAGGAAGAGCACTGTCATGTCCCACCGTGCTTGGGGCAGGGAGAAGTTCCAGGGCAGGAGGGCTGGCACAGAGTGGGGCAGTGCGATCCTGCCCCATCTCTGGAAGTGTCCAAGTCCAGGTTTGACAAGGCTTGGAGCAACCTGGTGTAGTGGAAGGTGAGTGGAAGGGAGTGAAATGAGATGATTACCTTTAAGGCCTCTTTCAATCCAAACTGTTCAATTATTCCAGGATTCTACAAAACCTGCTCCTCAAGGCCAGCTCAGGACATACTAATTCAAACACTTAATTTCAGGGACTTAAAAAAACTTGGAAGAAAGCTCCCATCAGTGGGCTGGCCAGTGTGCAGAGACACACATCTCCATGTAAACCACCCAGTGTGAGCTGGTGGCCTTCCCTGAGTCAGTGCTGACATCCCACAGCTCTCTCAGCCTGCCTGTCCCCAACACCTTCCATTCTGGAGCAGGTTCCTCCTGCAGCAGGGGCTCCCCATTCCCTGAAGCTGYCCCCTCACCCTCCAGCACAGCTCAGCATATTTCATCAGCAGCTGGGCTTCCTCCACACTAGTGACAAACCACTCCCCATTCCCAAGGAATGGTATTGACGAAAGCTGGGCGTTTCTGATAAGGAAAAAAATTTTCCCAATAAGCTAGTAACTAGAATTAGCTCCTGCATAAGTAATGCCTGGCCTGAAGAAGCCAGCTTGTTATCAGCACATATCGTTTTTGATCAGTCCTGACAATTTTCTGTCACTGATCATGCAGGTCATGAGACAATTTGGGACAAAGCACAAGGACTAATCATCTGCTGCTCCAGGTAAATATAGTACCAGAGAGTCTTTTCTGGAAGCAGGAAACAGGAATTGGAGCCTGTCCTGCAATCCTTCAGGCTTTCAAAGTCCCTAAAAATACTGAACAAAACACAGGAAAGAAATATTTTGTTTTGTATGGGCCAACCCCCATCAYCAGAGATCCCAGCATGTGCAGGGCCATGGGAATGGCCCTTGGACTATGAAAAAGATAAGATRGTCTCTGGCTCTCCTTCCTGGCTCCAGCTGAGATCATGTGTTAGGAAGACAGAGGGGACATGCGAACAGTGGAGGTACAGGTCTCCTGGCCCACACATGGGATGTGGTTACACCACAGGTGACCAACCTAGCAAAGGGCTCAAGGCATATCTGAGTTCTCCRTAACAACGGGACTTCCACAAAACCCTGGGATTAGTGAAAACACTGCTGCCTTGGGGGAAGCACTATCTCCTCTCYCACCCTTCAGACACAGCCAGGTCTTCTGCACCAATCTCAACCAAACCCCAGACTGATGTCCAAGACCACTGCAGGCAAATCTGAGCAGCCAGAGGTGACCTGCCTTCCATCTCAAAGATGCTGCCATCCTCACTGACTCCCTCAATCCCCTGGGGTTCAGTCTTGGAATTCTGGGCTTGTCCAAGTGCTTCAGCACAGCCCTGATCATCAGTGGGCTGACAGTCACCTTGTTCTCAYACCTCAGAGACTGGCTGACTCTTCCAACAGTGGAAACTGAAAATCGTATCCTGCAGCACATCCCACAGAAGCAYCTCTTCACTCACCCAGACCTGAACAGAACCTTTGGCCACGCTGAGGATTTGTCCAGCACCCAACCCCTGCCAGTGGTGGTGGCACAGGACTTGCTCAGAGCCCACCAGCTGCTCGTGTCCCCATTTCAATTCCATTCTGGGAATGGGTCACAAGGGGGCAAATTCACAAAGGGCAGATAAAAGCACCCAGAGGGTGCAGTGGAGAAGGAAGGTGATGCCCCATCCCTGGGAGTATTCCCAGCCCAGGACAGGAGTGCTCCATGCAGAGCCCCCGCAGCTCCATCACAGGCCAACACTCACTCTTTAGTTTGGAGCGCACTTTGTTCGCCGTCTTCTTTATGTCAGACATCAGCTCTTCCAGCTCCTCCTTTGTTTCTGGGGAGAGAGGAAAGAGCAAATATGGATGCTGCAGACACCACCAAAATCTGCTGCCCAGCCCTGCAGACTGTAGAGATCAGAGCTGCGAGAACTTCAATCCCCTCACTGGAAAAATTTCCAACSCCTGACTGGAAGCAATCCCATCCCCAGACAGGGAGCACTTCCACTCCCAGACTGGGAACACTTCCAACTCCAGACTGGGAGCACTCCCACCTCCACACTGGAAGCACTCCTGTTTACAGACTGGGAGAGCTCCCATCCATGGACTGGGAGCACTCCCACATCCAGGCTGAGAACACTTGCATCCCCAGACCAGGAACACTTCCACCCTCTGACCGGAAGCACTCCCACCTCATGCTCCATACTGGACTCTCCTCACACTCCTGAGACCTCCAGCTGCCTCCAGTGCTGGGGCCCAACTCAAGCGTTAAAATGAACAAGGGTGAGGTCACGCTGGACACGGGGAAGAAAWGTCAGACCATGAGGTTGGTGAGGCCCTGGCACAGTTGCCCAGAGAAGCTGTGGCTGCCCCAACCYGGGGCAGGCTGGATGGAGCTTGGAGCAGCCTKGTCTAGTGGAAGGTGTCCCTACCCATRGCAGGGAGGTGGAACTGGATGACCTTTCMATGTCCCTTTAAACCCAAACTGTCCTGTGAATCTGTGATCACATATAGGTTCCTCTCCCAGAAACTTGTCCTCAAAGAAGTCAAGATTTGCAACCAAACAGTGCTTCAGGAACTGCCAGATGCCCTGTATACAGGAGCAGAGCTGGAGAAGGGGCACAGCCCCATGCCCAGAACACTGAGACACAACTGTGCTCTGCCAGTGCAGCCTTCCCTGCTGCCACCCCAATATTCCTCTTGATTTTGAAGAGATCAAGACTTAATTAAATAAAACTTTTTTTAAYAGAGCTGAAGCATATTGACTGAATCATGTCAATGGCTCTGATGCGAGCTGCCAGTCACAGGCAWAATTAGAAAATCCTCATGATGGAAATGTGTTGGGGGGAAGGTCCTAGCATACTGGCAACTGTAAACATCCCCAACCCCGAGCTACAWGTTTCAGCATTACTGGGAAAAGGAGAGAAGGAACACATCTCTGAAGTCTTTCACCCCAGAGTATTTACTGGGGAATGGGCACAAATGCAGYGACAGGAATATGCAGATGAGCAAACTGCACACAAATGCAGTCTGAGTTCTCACTTAACTGACTAATTATTTTTCCCCCCATTCATAAAAAACTTGCAGTAATGAGAAACACATAATAAGAAATTGTAATACTAAAAAAATTCTTGAAAGAATTTGCAGTAGACGGAAAATAATAAAAAATTAGAAACTGTAATAATAAGAAATYAGTAACCATAATAATAAGGAATTATTAGTTTTTTCTTAATAAAGAAATAAGCCAGCTTGGGCTGAGGAACTCCCTGCAGCAATCCAGGCTGGGCAAGTAGACAAGGACCAAAAGTGCTGGAGACAACTGGCTGCCATGRACATGGGGATGGGCTGGGAGCTGGCATTGTCCACCTAGAAAGAGGAAAGYCAAGGGGGTTCCTACTGCTGTCTGAGACTGCCCTGTGGGAGGGAGGAGAGAAGCTGGGACCAGGTGTCCTGCTGGTCTTTGGAGGTGCACAGGAAGAGGACAAACAGTGCTGGACCRAGCTGGGACAAGCAAAATGCAAATTAGATATTATGAACAAAAAACAGTTATGACTGAGGTCAAATATCAGATGCAGAGATGCTGTGGGATGTGTGTCCTTAGGGATATTATATTCAGCACAGGGCTGGATGAAAGGCTGAGCATTGGACCCGCAGGCAAGGGACTGGCCAGRGGCCTCCAAAGTCCCTTCCCACCCATATTCACCTTCAATTCTATTAAAAAATTACATGTAACTCACTGCTATGTATTTTCCGTACTATCTGTCAATTCGGATTGATGGATCTCCCCTCTGYTCTGCTCTTGTGAGAYCTCACCTGCARACCTGCTTTCACCTCTGGAGTCCCCAGCCTAGGAAGGATGTGGAGCTACTGGAACAAGTGCAGAGATCACAGAAATGTTCCAAGGGCTGGAGCCCCTCTGCCCTGGAGCCAGGCTGGGAGAGCTGGAGGTGCTCACCTGGAGAGGAGAAGATTCTGGGGAGACCACAGAGCCCCTTCCCATGACTAATGGGGCTCCAGGAGAGCTGGAGAGGGACTGGGGACAAGGGCCTGGAGTGACAGCACGAGGGAGAATGGCTTCCCACTGCCAGAGGGCGGTGTTAGATGAGATATTGAGAAGAGACTTTTCTCTGTGAGGGTGGCGAGGCCCTGGTACAGGTTGTTCAGAGCAAGTGTGGTTGCCCCATCACTGCAAGCATTCACAGCCAGGTTGGCTCCTGGTCTACTGGAAGGTGTCCCTGCCCATGGCAGAGGCCGAAGATGGGATGAGATGGTCTTTAGGGTCCCTTATGATTCTGTGATGCACTACCATGAAGCAGCCACTGAGGACACAGAGGGTAAGTGGTGAACACTGTGTCACCAGTTCTGGGATGACTCAGGGAGAGGACATGGATGGAAGGACGGGGCAGGGAATGGGCGCCTTCCCTCAAAATATTTTCGAGTGGCCTGGAGAACACTCCTTCTGGCTTGCTTTGAGTCACAGGCCGTGTGAGGATTATTTGGTGGCCTGGCAGGCACAGGCTGTCCAGACAATTATTTTCACATCCACAGTGTCTGTTCAAGTGATTCACTCAGATCTATTTAACCATTCACAGCGAGTKACATGCAGCCATGGGAAGCTGAAGTACCACAACATTGCCATGCCATGGCCAGCAACGTTTCACGACAGAGTGGCACTGAGGGGGCAGATGGGATGTTTCAGAGGATGASTCAAGCTCCCCACAGCCCACACAGGATGTCTGTTCTATTCCCACTGGCATTGAGCACAGCGGGAGCAGAGATGTCCCCATGGCCACATGTCCCCAGACCCCACTGGGAGGAAGGAGGAGGCTTTGGTCCAAGGTTGAGTCTTACACCCCTGAGAAGCCCCAGGGACTGCTGTGACCTGCCTGGGAGGTCACAGAGCCAGACGGTGCAGGGAGCAGGCAGCGGTGGGAGCTCTTTCTCCTCTCTCTGTCAACAGCTAATGAAACACCCATCTGACAAGGCTGGTGACATGGCAGGCAGGCAGGAGATGGCAGGCAAAAGCAGGTAGGAATGGCCCGGAGCAGGCTGGCACAAGCAAACAGGAGCAGGCAGGCAGGCTGGTGTGGACAGGACCAAGCAGGAACAGGTAGACAGGAGCACACAGGAGCAGGCAGAAGAGCAGGCAGGAGAGCAGGCAGGTAGGTGTTGGCAGGCACAGCCCTCCACCCTTCACATGGCACTCTGGACATCATGGTGACAGTGACTCTGCTCACAAGGTCATCGGTCCTGTAGCTGCCYCACTCACTCTTTGCTGGGACTGAGAAACTTCACCTCTGCAATGTGAAAGTCCTTACTCACAGTRAGCAAACAACGTCATTGAGAAAAGTGCAATTCCAAGCTAATTCCCACCTGGCAAAGCTGGAAGGATCTTTTTGGCAAAAACAGCTCTTCCAATAAAAAATGAAAGAAGATTCTGAGAACAGTTCTTTGAAGAAAAAWTTTTAAAAATAAACCTTTCTTGTTTACCTTGGCACCTTCATTTATTGAATGTTGGGTACTTTTTAAAGGTGAATGCGAAGAGGAAGCACAGAACTGAAAGTCCTAMAGGGATCTGGTCTCTCTCTCTAAGGAATTTGTCCTAACAACTCTATGGAGTTGGCAGAAACATTTTCTATAATGTTACATGGCCTTAAAGTAATACAAATTAAATTTGTTTCGGATTTTTAACTTACTGCATGACAGGAGGGACAAATCCTGTTCAAGATGCAGCAAGGAGAGATGCTGCCAGGGCTCAAGGTCAGTGCAAAATGTCCAGGCTTTACACAGGAGCAGAAGAGAGATGATGCACAGTAGCGTCTGAAAAGCTTGCAGGATTCCCTGGGATGAAGGTACACCCTGAAACACCTTGTCCGTCCACCTGGCTGTGTAGTTTTTTAACACCATTAAAAAAGATAACATCACAGAATCCTAGAATCATAGTGTGGTCTGGGTTGCAAACCATCTTAAAGATCATTCCAATCCCCTGCCATAGGTAGGGACACCCTCAGTTWGACCAGTTTGCTCCAAATCCTGTCCAACCTGGCCTTGGTACACATCCAGGGATGGGACATTTAACTGAGTTCCTGTGACATATTCATAGGTAATTAAAAGCTGGTACCATCAGTGGAATTGCATTTATATAACACCATCTGATACCAGTGGTGGTGGGTCCAATATGCCAAACTCTGGACTCCCAGCATTTTCCCCACAGGCTGCCAGGACAATCCAGTCACTGACAAGGATGCAGTCTGAGACACTGAGGGTTTTCCACCAGTAACTGGGCTTTTAACACCAGAGTGGCCATGGACATCCTCATGTCCCAAGTCCAGCTCAGCCCTTCTATACCCTGTCACTGAGCCAGCTATCCTGAACACCTCTTCAGGATGTTCTCATATTATGTTCTCACACCTTCCTCCAAGTGTTCCTGCTGCTCCAAACTGGACTCAGAGCTGGAAAATTCCTGCAGAATGCCAATTTCAGGATGAAAGAAGAGCTGTGCTATGCGTTAACCACAGAATCTCAGAATCATTAAGGTTGGGAAAGACATTCAAGATCATCAAGTCCAGCCTTTGACCAAATACCACCACACCCATGAACCACAGCACTACACATCCAGCTGTTCACTGAACACCTCCARGGATGGTGACTCCACCACAGTCCTGCGATAGGACTTAACCACTCTTTCAGTGAATAATTTTCTTCTAATATTCAGCCTWAACCTCCCCTGGCACAACTTGAGGCTGTTTCCTCTTACCCWGTGCCTYRTTCCCTGGGAGTAGAGCCATCTTCACCCTCCTGTCAGCGAGYTGTGGAGAGCAAGAAGGCCCCCMGAGCC